GGGGGGGGGGGGGGGAGACTGGCCCCGAGGATAGATTGGCACGACTTCACGCACTTTGGAAAAGCTGAAACAGAACGTGGAAACCTTTCAACCTCAACAAAACTATTCAACCTCGACAACATGACTCACATCACTAACAAGGTCATTCCTAGACAACTACGACACGGAACAAAAGCTTTGGCGGAAGGCGGATAAGCCTACGATCGTCGTGCGCTTTGGCTCGTCCGCAAGGCCACGTGGTCGCTTTCTGGGCCCATGGCCATCACGACCAAAAACCAAAACTCAGATTACACGCAAAAACAGAAGTTGTCTTGTATGCATACGTGGTCACAAACCAACCAATGCCCCAAGCTGAGGGTTATTTCTCTCACCCCCATAACGGTCTGGTCCGGCTTCTTGCACTTGGAGGCCATCACCAAAAAGTCCCGCTGCGCCGCCCAGGCCTTCTTGATCACGGCTCCCTGTTGCACGTTGGAAACGTACGTGCGCGTTCGAAGATAAGCATGGAACACAGACGACGGGGGCAGGGTAAACGGCCGGTTGTAATGTGGGGAGGGGGTACGTAGCATCAAGCTTTTGGACGAGAGACTAAAGAGCCGGGGGAGCGGTGAATATAGGTATCATTACGTCTCGATAACCATGTGAGCGCACAGCTCCCGTGGCAGCACCGCCGAAAGGAGAGGCGCTGGGCCTTGTCAGGCCAAACGACGGCCGCTGCGACATCGACACAAAACACCTGGGACAACATGTACCGATTATACTGTGGTCGCCGCGTCCCAGGTTAACACCTATGCTACGGTGCTGTGCACCAGGTGAGGTGTACACAGCGTACGACTTAACCACACCCTACGCATCTATTCCACCACCCGTGGAGGGTGGAAAGTGGGTTGCTTGCAGCCTACACCCAAGCGCCGAGCGATGCTCGTCCGATGCAAGTGTCGGCCGCAGCATATCGCAAGCAGTCGTCACGATTAGCAACGCTTTCGTCAGTAGAAGACTTCGCCCGATGCGTCCGCCGACAGCACAAGCACCAGCACCAGGACCAGCAGAAGCACACAACATGAACAATCACCAACAAAATTACAATGACGAGCACAGAAGCAGCAATCTCCACCCCCAGATAATCGAAGCTCAACCGCCGCGGAAATTACAACGACGAGGACAGCAATAGCAACAACAACCAAAATTCGCCCCTGCGGGCACTGCAACGACGAGGACAGCAGCACCAACAACAGCACCATCACAATCCCAAACAAAAATTTGGAGCTCACCCCTGCGGCAGCCCCGCCCCCGAGAGTCCCACAGGCAGCCATGAAGGGCTCCAGGCACTTGGAGCAGTACTCGTCAAAGGCGGCGACAGAGGCGGAAACCTCGTCACCACCCCCAGTAGCCGCGGGAAGGCCTCGCGAGCCGGACGCCATGGGCGCTGCCGCCGCTGCTGCTCCTCCCGGGAGCACGGCCTTCTCCACCGTCGAAAGGCGGGCCTCGAAGGAGTCGAGGAGGGCTTGGAGCTGACCGGTCGCCATCTGTCTGTTTATTTTATAGGCGGGTCTTTTCGCTTACTGTCGTCCACAACAAAATACTCTTGAAAGGTGTGTAGGTCGTTCGGCGTTTCGTCGGATATTTTCGATCGACGAGTTTTTCGTTCTTTTCGACGGGAGTTTTGTCGAGATTGTTCCGCAGACCGTTCGGACGAAGGCGCGCGAGAGGAAAGGACAAAGGGGAGAAAGGGGAGGACACACGACAAGGGCGCGGATGGCGATCGACGGAGGCGTTTGGGGTGAGGGCGTGAGAGGAAGCAGGGGAAAATTGAGTACGATACAATCAAACAATGATTTCGTATTTGGTCTACATTGTGCGGACTACAGCCTACCGTGGTATGTCTGTGTGCAGCGTTGGCACTACGCGATGGCCCCCCTACAGCAGTAGTACCCTCCGCACATCCGTGCATATAGAGGGCGGCAATGTCAATCGATCACACGGGGGTGGTGTTGCGATGGTGCGGGGTTTGTTGTCGTGAGTTGCAACGAAGTAGTAGACCACATGCAATCACAGAAAGCCTATCCGTTCTAAGAGATAATGCCATAGCAAGCGAAGGGGGAAATGTTCGAGTTCGGCGAGCAACCGCCTGGCTGCTGACTACTGGGCTTACTGAGCAGCCCAAAACTTTACCGAACATCCCCTGGTTGCTCTCTACCGGAACAAGAAAAAAACGTCCGGGAGAATCCTCGGTTATGCCATGTGATGGTTTGTCTATTCCGAGAGCAAGGTCACCGGCGGCCGCTGCTGCAGTAACTCATCGGGCCGGGTCGTCAGCTTGCACGAACGGTATTGCGCCGCATTCAAGGATATGCTCGCACGATCCCAACAATTGCGCGAAACAACGAAAACAGGACCAAAATTGGGACGACTTTACGCGATGAATCTTAACAAGGGATAGCAGAACGAAGCGCCCCACGTCGGAATTACGATGCTCTCGATGGCGGCCGGTGTTCATTTGTTCAACTACGAAGTACAAAGGAACCTCTGTGGGCAAGAATGAGAATCAACCAATTTCAGTTCCCGACGCGACAACATAGTAGCTACCACCGACCAAAGAGGGGCGTGCGTAGAGAGTGGCGCAACACAAGCCTGCGGGCGTCTGTTCTGGGCCTGGACTTCGCGGCTACACGGGAACCTTGTTCGAAGCACTACAGCAGTAATGCTGGGGTGCATTGGCACAGCAGCTTGCTGCGATGCTGCCCGGGTGCGCGCCCGTTTATCGTTGATCGATTCTTGTCATCTTCTCATGGGAAAAGGAATAGAAATTCCATCCGCAAAAACTGAGGACCAACATAACGGTGCCGACAAAAAAAGCTGCAACTCTTCAACCAACAAACAAACTCACCCCCCTTGCATAGCAGTGCGCCAAGGTTATGGCTTAACAAGCTAGGGTTGCAAATGAAGCTTACACTGAAGAAGGTCGACCTCTCTCTACATGGTACTCGACAAGCCGCATGCTCCTGACAGAAAATTTCCCACACGCGGTTCTGCAGAGTGGAGTGGAGAAATCAACACAGCGGTTTGGGTATAGCCCGACAGTTCTGCCGAAGCCATCGCCCCTCACGCAAGCAAAGCAAACTAGTCACCTCGATAGCACACGCTTGCTGGCTTGTCCCCACGGTGCTTGTCAAGAAGATGTGATGGGTGATGCGATGTGCAACGTAGAAATGATGCGAAATGTACCGAGAAGGCGAGAAGAAGGCGAGGGAGTCCGTAGATTCGAAATTCCTACCTATGGTGCCCGCAGCTTGCGAAGAGGAGTAACCAGAAACGGGTACACCCGGCTAGATTTATCACCATTTCAGGGTACACTTGGAAATCAAGACGACAGGAATCTCCGACAGCATCCGCCGAAGATCGCGGCGAAACCAATAAACCGCTGTCTGTGTCCTGTGTGCCCTGTGCCTCGGAAGCATGATGCACGAGGCAGGTCGTGCCCTTTTTTCTCTCTATCTGTGCCTCTCTCTCTCTCTCTCTGTGCTTATACTGGTCAGTACCACACCGAAGTACTCGCGCGTCAGGAGAGTCCGAGCCTCTGTTGAGAAGGGCCGGTATCCTACGGAGGCCGTGCCCATGAACAATGAACGAGCGAGCGTTGTTGGTGGTTTGGTTGTGGATATGTATGTGTGGTATGGTACACGGGATGTGCGGCACACGTTTTTTTCTGCGGGTTTAATGCTAGAGCGTCGGGCGCCGGGATTATATGACCATTTCTGGGTACAAAATTGACCTCTTCCGGGTACACCAGTAACCAAAATCGGTCACACCAGAGGGTCCTAATTCCAGCGGAAGTTGTACCTGATGGAGGTTTCTTCAGAAATGGGGACAACGGTTTTTCGGCCAATCAGCTGACAGCCTGGGGGTGCAAGCGTGTTGATTTCTAACTGTACCCTAGAGTGGTGATAAAGTACCCGGGTATACCCGTTTCTGGTTATTGTTCACTTGCGAATAGTAGGAGAGAAGCTTAGAGAGGAGGGGGGAGGGTCGAGTTTGTCTTGCATGGCCGCGTACAGGAGGGTTGTCCACGTGGCTACTCAGCCAACCAGCTACGAGTCTTTAACAAGGGAGTAGCAGCTGAGCTGGCAGAGGGGCAGAGGGTAGCATTCATGTCAACAAGGCATCCATCCCGCTTTCCCTTTGTATTGAACAAAAGTGTTGCACAACCATGAGAAGTACTTCAGTATTATATTCGCCAGACCTTGACCAGGCAACTAGTCTACTAGATGCATACGAAAACAACAATTCAGTCAATCTGCTTTTCGGGGGCGCGATATTGACGCCGACTCGCAGTGATGTTTTCAGAGTAGAAGCGACAGGGAAGAACTTGGGGATTATCGACATGATGGAGCGTGCTCAGCTTAGTTTGTATTCAGTCAATCATCGAGTATTTATCGCCGAACGACGTCTGCCTGTACCACGAAGGGGTGCACTGCAGGCATACAGACCACGGCGGCTGGCCCAGATGGGACAACAAACGCCAAAACAGCAACACCCGGCCGCCGTTCCCCAACAAACAAGATTATGTGACACAGCAGTGCTTTCTCTGGTTCATCGCCTTGCAAAAACCATCCTTCCAAACTCAATACACCGCCCTCGGTCTTTCTACCGGAAGGAAAAATCCCCTTGCAACGCACACATGACGACACGACGCAACGCGAAAAGCGACAAATTAATACAATATCTAGACTATGTGGGCGGCGGCATATAAGGTGGCACAGAAAAGCTTCACGTGTACCGCCAGCACCTCTCCTTTCCTGGAAAAAAAAGAACTGGCAATCGATCTTCTCCCGGACAACCACTACCCGAGCACAATCAACAACGACAAGAAACAACGACAATCAATATCACGACAAATGGTGGGGACCAGGCCAGCCGTGGCTAGCATTACGACTGAGAATTTTCCTCAACAGCTAGCACCCCCCCGCGCCCTTCTTGAAGAACACCACACCTCACTCCGAATCGCATGGCAGCGTCCCGAAAGAAAACGACCAACCGGTCGTTGCGTAATTACGGTTGGCCCACGAACCAATCCAAGAGCTGGCACCCCCGACGCAGGCTGAATCGACAACGAATTGCGAAGCAAAATGGCCCATGTGCGTGGTGGTTTGACACCATCTCCAAGAACGTATGGCGCGGAAATCAAGCACTGAACAACTTGACCATAGGAACAGGTTCGTTCTCTACCAAGGACCTTACACTAAAACCTATATATATATATATTTTTTTTTTGTCTCCCATCATTGGACGCTGTCGGCTGCCCCTCTGGCCCCTATCCTCCAGTTCTACCAGCTAGACGACCCAACCGGGGTCACACAGGAGGGGGGGGTTGTACACCCTCCTGCGGTTCCTGCCTGAGATATTTTTATCGCGAGAAGGGTACAGCAGTCCTTTCTTCCCTCGCGACTTATGAAGTCTAGAGTAAACCGGCCAATTAACGAACGCTTAAGCCACCCCTCGCGCCAACAGCTCGTTCTCGGGCATGAAGAGGAGTATGATGTATTTGTGGGTACCGGGCGATAGCTTGTATTATAGGCTACCTCCNCCACCAGACCACCTGGACGACCGGTATATATAAATAGGCGTCGTGGGGATATGCAGCAGTACCCCATAGACAAATAAGAAACGAACCTAGGCCCTAACTGCAAGGCTCTACAAATACAAGTACTTTCGACACCCCAACACCAGCCCCTGTTATAGCGGACGATCTCCGAGCTCAGCCCAACACGGGACGATCACGCCCATGACTGGCAAACCCCAACCCTGCAAGAAACAAGAAACTTGGTAGGCCTGTACCCCAAAAATATGAGTCAGAAGTGCGTCCAGGGTGGCAAGTGTGCCAAACTGCGTTCCTTACGATTGGCAATGCCCAATTTCGAGCTTCCTGCTTGAGACCCGGCGTTGTGTGCTTCAATTCAAACACAGCTACAGCTTAATACAAAAGTAGCCTTCAGAAATCCAACCAGGCAGCAGCAAGCGTTATCCTACACTCACGGCCGTACCCGCCCCCGCCGTTCAGTTCACAGCGGGCACGATGATCACGGTGATTTGTAAAACACCTTCCGGTCCGAAAAAATATGGAGTACATCACGTCGACACGAAATACACAACACCTGACGAGGCACGAAACAGGCTTGCTGCAATCGTCACAGTGCTTTCTCGAAATACTCCCGCGGACATCTAACACCTGCGAAATGTCCGCACCACGAATAAAGATATCCTGAGAGGGAAAATAAACCCTTCTAAGGGTTGTGGAACAAAGAAAAATAGCGAGCACGGAATGAGCACAATAGGAAGCATTTCCCTTGGACGTCAACACATGAAAAGAAAAAATGAAAACAAAAGGATTGCCTCTTCAGGGGCAAGTTGATGTGGACGGCCTACATGTCAGCCGGGGAGTATAGAGGGTACTTGGGAGGCAAAACAAAGAAGCCGGGTGTTGATTAACAATTAGCACAGCGGACAAGATTGCCCACACAACAGATACAAGCAGTCCAGAAGGAGCGTAAAGGCACGCTCTTGGTGACAGGGGGGGCAATAGACGCTAAAAACGCGGCGACCCGAAAGCCCTATTCTTGTAGACCACAAATAGTACTCCCAACAGGCGGAAACCACACCTTGAAAGTACTCTAAACAAAAAAAGTTAACATCGTGGGAAGACTTTCTACTATATTCTACGGAAAGCGACTATTTACGGTTTGAAAGCATGGCTTCGTCACAGAGAGAGGGCAGCACAAGATAAGGTATTGGGCTTTTACTGCGTTGCCAATGCTTCGCCAACGTCCCAACTGAGGAGGAGAAACATCTCTCGTGCTTGCAATTCTGCATGGCAAGCACTTAAAGAAGAAGAAAAAACGTGCGCCAGGGAACCATGACCACAACTCCCCTTCCATGCGATAGGAACCGGTCGGCTCGACCTCACCACATCCCACAAAACGACCATGATTTAGAGTCAGGCAACATCACACTCCAAGCCATGTCGAGAGCGAGGTCATCCAAACATACCTCTAGGCGGGACCATGCTCCCGTTCTAGAACGTCGCTCTCGACCGTTCGGAGGAGCTGCTGACGCACCGCAAATCAAAACAGCGTTTTCCTCCTACTACTCTGGAGAAAAAAGAGGGTTAGCTAGGCGAGGCGCAAGGCAGGAGGCCGAGACAAGCGCCTGCTCTACAGCACACGCAGGCCTCCGGCGATGGTGCGAAGGGACGACATGGGCGCCGGGCCTATCGCCGCAACCGTGCACGTGTCCGCCCGCACGTTCCCCACCCACGCCGCTTGCTTGTCTCGGACCATGGTGATGGGCAGGTGAGATGAAGCTCCCACCTGCATCCACAGCGCGTGCGCGCGGTCCATCGGGAGGATGCCAAGAAAACAGGCATGGGGAGCACGGGAACACATAAGGGGGCGTGCTCTATGTTTTGCATGCCTTGGAAGATAGGCCGTTGACCACGCGTCCACGAGGGGACGGAGCAATGTTCCCACATGACCGATCACCGATGAACACGCGTTCCTACTGGGGGGGGCGGGGGGCTCACCATCCTGCAAGAGCTTGTCAGCTTGTCTTGGAGCTGTTCATCGCGTAAACCAATCACGTGCGTATCAACTCTTGTTCTAAACGCACTATGAAATACGACGTTTCACCACCGCTCTCACCACAAGAATCGCGTCCAGGTTCGCGGCATCCTCCGCTCCAAGGATAATCATCGACTCCCCGGCCTCCCTCCAAACCGCAAGGGTGTCGGACCGTCCGCTGCCCTCCGCCTTCCGAGCCGCCGCCAGCGCTGCCTTCGCGCACTGCGCCGCGAGTGTCCCGGGGGACATCCCAAGGTCCAGCCGCACCAGCAGCGCCAGTGTGAGGTTAGGGCCCGACAGGGACGTTTCCCCCCACCCGGCGGCCGCGGAAAACGCGCTCGCTCTCGACCACGATCCCCTCCGATTCCGCTCGTCGCGGAACCCGTTCCCTGCCCCGATGCTTCGCACCGGGGGCGGGCTGTGAGAACGTATGCCGTGCGCGGCGGCGCGGCGGTTGGGTTGCGGCGGGGGCGACGTGGCGGAGGAGGAGGGTACCAGCCGTGACGACGGCGAGGAGGAGGACGACGACAACGCTCTCTGCTCGGACGAGCGTTCTCCAGCGTCACCCTCGGCGGTGCCCTCGCTCGCCGGCGAAGCGGCGTTCGGCCTCTTGCGGTGGCCGCGCCGGAACCTGCTGAGCAGTCCCCCGCCCCCGCCGGACGACGACTTCGTGGACCCTCCAAAGCCGCTGGGGGCCCTGTCCACGCCGTCACGGGCGGGCGAAACGTCTCCTATCCACTTCGGAGACACGCCTCCCATCCCCGCGGGCGAAACCCCGCCCCTGCCCTTGGGCCGATTCGCTCCCCAGCTACCGCTGCCGCCCCGCCGGTGATGCGACGTTGTTTCGACCCTGCCGCGGTCGCCGTTGGCACCGACGCCGCCGCTGCCGCCGGCGGGTCTACCGGTCGCAGGCTCATTGGTGGCGAACTCCCTGGGGTAGAGCCCGCCTGCGTCGGAGGGGGCCCCGCGGGGGAGAAGCGGGGTGATGTCGAGCAGGAACTGCATGTTGACGTCGGTGCTGTCGCTGCCCGTGGTGGCCATGGCCGCGTCTACGTCGAGCTCGTCGAAGCCGGCCTCGATGAGCCTACGGCGGGTCGCATCAGCCGGCATCTCGCCCTCTTCCTGCCCCTCCTCCTCCTCCTCCTCGTCGTCGTCGTTGAGTTCGCCTGCCTGACCTTCACCGCTGCCGCTGTGCCCTCCAGTTCCTTCCGGGTAGATTTTGTCCCCACCCCCGCCACGGTTTCCCACACCACCTTCCGCTTCGTTGTCCACAAGCCCATCCAGCGCAAACTGAACCAGCTTCTCCCGCCCCATGTTACCACCACAACCGCCACCACCATCAAGCGCGACCCCACTTTCACCCCCTTGCTCTCGAGGCGTCCGTTCCCATATTGACGACGCCCCTCCGGTCGAACTTGGGGGCACCGGCGATCCAACACCGTCGCCGCTGCTGCTCATAGCGGCGTTGTCTGGGGAGGGGAGCGGGGCGGGAGGGTCCGGCGAACACACCTCTGGCCCGGCCGCTAGAACCGCTGCCTCGTACGTGGACAGAGAGAGCGGCGGGGGCGGCGATGATGCAGCCGCTGGCGCAACGGAGGGGGCCCTGCCGAGGAGACCGTTGTTGCCACCGGACTCTCGGGGTACTGCCGACGGATGCGACGCCAGGGACGACGCGATCGCCGAGAGACATGCCACAAGTAACGCGAGCTGCGTCTCCTTGGGGATGGCTTCGAAAGGAGGTACGTGGATGAACAGACTGTGGCGCCCGCTCGGAGCCGGAGAGGCTCCCGCCGTTCTGGCGGCGACCTCGCCGCCGCCGTCGCCGCTGAAGCAGAAGGCGTCCTCTGCCTCGTTACCCGAATCCAGGCTGCGGCGCTCACCGGGTCCCGTGGCTGCTCCAGCAGCGACCTTGCTGATCCCGTCTCTGCTGAAACAAAAGGCGTCCATTACTTCCCCACCCTCTTCCGAAGGCCGCGCGACTTCTTCTGCTCCACCTTTCCCGGGCGCAGCCACCGTCGCCGGCGCCCGTTCCCCGGACCGTTCGCAAAGGCCGAGCGAGGAGTAGTAGACGTAGTTGCACACGAACCGGCCCGCGTCCTTGGACTCCTCGACGTACTCCCGCCCCCAGCCCGATCTCTCGAGGCGCGCGAGGACGTCGGCGACGGGTACGGTGGTGACTCGACAGTGTCCCGTGAAGGGGTTGTCCTGCTCGACGGGGGCGAAGGAGGGGCGGTATCCCTGCTCGTCCGGGACGCGAAAGGTCGCCTCGTTGAACCCCCGGGTCTCCAGCGCGAACCTCTTGGACCCGCCGTTAACCCCGCAGTGCAAGAAGACCGTGGCGACGCTTTCATCATCGTCTTTATCCTTACGCACCTTTTCGTCGGTATCGCCGTTGACTGCAGTGGCGTTGCCGCCGGTGGTCGCATCACCTTGCTCGGCGTTCGCGCAGCCGGGGCCGCCCCCTTCGTCGGCGCACTTACCCCCCTCGCCACTGCCACCACCGCACCCGCCCGCGGCGGTAGCGCTCGCGTTTCCGAGACCCCCGGTGCCGCCACCCACCGTAGCAGCAGGGTCACCTTTCAACACCGCTTCCCTCCCGCCGCCCCCCCTCGAGGAGGCCGAGCTCGCGGCGTGAAGCTCCCTGAGCTGACGACCGCCCACCTCGGCCGAGACATGGAGGATCGTGCACGACTGGACTTCGAAGTCCTCTTCTCGGTCATTCCCGTCCATGGCTGGAGTTTCATACCCCCCGCCCTGCCCCATCGTTCCTATCCGCTGTCCCCCCTTGCCTTGGCCGGCGCCGCCGGCGCCGCGTCGGCGAGCTTCCAGCTCTCCCTGCAGATCGTTCACGAGGTGCGTGGTTGGGTTGTCGGCTACGCCATTGAACACCCCGAAACCAGTAACGTGGAACACGACCTTCGGCTTCCGCCTCCTGCCCTGTTGTTGGCACCCAGCCGACGCCGTCGATGCCACCGCAGGCGATGCCATTCCCGCCGCCGCCGCTTCCGCCGGTTCGCTCAACCGGGCCTTGTTTCCGGCTTCCAAATATCCTCGGGTGCTGTTCGACGAAGACAAGACAGCCTTCTGTGATAACTCGTTTTTCTCTGGGAGGTCCTCCGCCCTCGAACGACTTGGCTTGTTGCGGTTCGGAATCCGCGTGGGTCTGCCGCCCCCGCCGCCGCCGCCGCCGCCGCTACTGCTGCTGCTGTCGGGAAGTTGTCGATGTCCACCGGATGGTCCTCGGCTGTACAGCAACCAAGGGCAAGGTGTCGGTCGTCAGGGAAAGTTGCGCGGAAAGTGGGCTAGGGAAGGAGAACATCACAGCCACTATTCGATGCATTCAGGGGAGGGGGTGGTGGAGAGCTTACCGTCTCATCTGAAGGCCTCGGTTGCATAGTGTACTCGGGGATACACAGATTGGTTGCAGAACAGTGTCACGTTCGTGGTTGCTTGCCGTCTTACGCGCCGAGATGTGTGTGAGGCGTTGGACACACAAATCTCAGTTTGTTTATTAAAAACCGTCTCTGCCCTTTAGTGCGGAGAGCAGCTCAGCCCCCCCCACGACGCCTTATCACGGGGTTCCAGATGATGGCCATTAGGAGAATTTTTTCTTTCAGCCGCCCTGAGGACTGATGCATTTTGAGTGTTCGGCCGGTTAGCGCCGTCGATGCTGATAAGAAAAGTCACAAAACACGTTGAACCGACGCTTGGTCAAACGTTTCTGCCTGATAGCCGGTGTCTTCTTTTGACTGAAGATAAGGTGAGTAGGCCACACGACATTCGTGTAAAAAGATGTTGTGAAATCCAGCGAACACAGGCGACCCCGAGGCAAAGAGAATGAAATAATGGACCCCCATACTATTCATACGCAATGGGAGATAACAAATATTACGGGAACTGACAAATACGGGAACTGAAAAACGAGCTGTCCCGGCGTGCCTTGCTAATCATTCCATTCACTGGTACAGCCGTGGTGGAGGTATGAATATCTAGACTATTTACGCGTTTGAGACAATGTACCCGAACCAAAGGGACGCGTTCAAAGTCTCAACAGCATGGAGTCTTGAGAAGAAAATCGACTTTTGCATATTTTAAGAAAATATATAGGTACGTGTATAATATTCCAAATCCGAAGCGTTTCCGGCTCGCCCCCGCGACAAATCGACCCCGGGACGACACTTTCAGGGAAGTCGCCCCTCAGACTACCCACCGGGACCCCGGATCTCCGGCGCCCGGGCTGGACGCCCTCGGCCCGGGGGGAGGGGGTGAAGTTCGGGCCCTCAAGTCTATTTCCTAGACAAAAATTCGGGCGCCCGTTTCGGCGCCGAGATAAATCGATTTTCACCCGGTCGTTCGCGCCCGCAGGGCCCCGGCCGGGCTCTCGCGGGCCTCGTCCGTGGGGTTTCGGGATTCGCCGGGACCGAGGCGGGGCGGGGCGCCGAAGTTGGGCTCCCGGCGGGGGGACCCGAGTTTCATCTCCCCGAAAGGGCCCGAGCGGGGGAATCTTCGCCCTTCTTCTGCTGTCTTCTTCGCCCTTCGTCGAACTCCGGAGGCCGAAAGGGCGCAACACACCTGCGAGCTGCTTTGTTCCTGCTGCTGCTCTCTGTCTTCATAGGGAAGGGCGATGCCCCCCGCGCTCACCCGACTAGTGTACTCGTCGCAAATAGCTGCACCAGCGCAAAACCGATGCACACACACGCGCGCGTCAGCGCGCTGGCATCTCCAGGCGTTAGGTTTAAGGTTGAGGTGCTGAAGTGTTCGATTCCGCCGCATCACAAGCAGCACATCCCACAACCAGCTTTGCGAAAATTTCAAGGTGCTTTTGAAAACTCGCCGAACTGACCTCTCGTCTTCAAAATCATGTAGACAAATTTCGACTGGTCGGAAAAATTGTCTCTTTGTTGGAAAGGGGTGGCTGTAGGCCGAGACAATCCCGAATCCTCTATGCGATAACCGAAAGGACCTATCTTGTGGATGCTGTTTTTGTCGTTTTCGAAACCATGCGGTCAATATCAAGAGTGGTTGTCATCCCCCCTATAGACGGGGCATGCGGCCTGAACTGCTTGTACGTACCATTCGCAGTAAATTCGTTGGCTTGTTTCACGTCCTATCTCTATCGTTTGCACCACACAGCAGTTTGGTGGGGCAGTAGGACTGCTGTACGCAGGAGAGATGTGCAAGCAGGGTCTTGGGCTGGCAGGTGGACGGAGTTTCCAAGCCTCGGGAGTGCCACAGACAAATTAGGGTGAGTCCTTGGTCATTGCCAAACCAACGCGCAAACCCCATTGATTTCCAGATTCACATATAGCGCATGCTTTGATCGGATGTTGGAGGGCTCCCTTTTGGTCTTTTCACCATATCTCGGGGATGTCTCTACCTCTTCATTCGTCGACTATTGCGGGACCTGGGTAGGGGAACAGGCAATGGAAGGTAGTTTATTCCCCGCCGCATGTCGATGGGCAAGAAACCCTTTTTACTTTTGGGGCATCGTCCCTCCAAGAACACCCACGGAAAGTGAGTTTGCCGAGTGGCTGCCTTCCCCACCTGACAATAGACGGTGAGAGGATACAGAGGAGTGAGGAAGCGAACTACGATGAAGGATACCGTAGCTTTGTACTGTGGCATTCTCTCATGCATATTGACAAGAAGTCATGTTTCGTACTTGCATCAATGCATAATTTTCTTTCGTGAAATTCATTTCTGTATCTCAACCTATTTTTAAACCCAACGAGTGGTATAAGACCATCCCTACAACCTTCGCTCTCGCGTTTTGGGGGAAGGCGGCCCTCTCTTCGCATTTTATTGGCCGCCAGATCCCTTCCACATTCGATTTTGTTCACGGCACGCCATATTTCGCCGACTTCCCACTACAGCACGTACGAATGGCGTACTGCGATCATCGTTTGGTTTTCGAAAACAGTTTGCGTGTAGTGATTACCTGACGAGCCACCGGGTAACCGTTGCTTTGTCATACAGAGAAAAACATCGACGAGGGATCCATGAGGAACTCTTCGCCAACGCCCACCTGTACCTTACTGAATCGGTCAGGAGTACAGACGAACAAAGCCACTCGGTGTGCTGACTTTTCCCATGACATGTTTTGCCGCAGGCTATGCCCGATGGATACGACCACAAGGTTTGGTTGGAGATCGAAAGGTCATCTGCAGCCTTTTACATGTGGTGCTGTATGAACTGCCCACAGGTTGTGGCAACAATTCTACCGCCACCACCCTCACGAGGAATTTACAGAAAGTCGCGGGAGAGGTTTTTTGGGACCTACTGACAAAACACCACGAGTGCCTACAATGCCTCCCGTCGTAGGATGAGCGCGTGTGTTGGACGGGAACTGATCTACGTTGTTTCTATTACCAACTGCGAGACAGCGTATTGTATTCGGTTACCGTCCCGCTGTACAGTAGTTGCGTGCCACCATATGCTGTTCTGTCTTCCAGAGTGTATTTTTCGCGATTGTTTATTTGGAATGTTTTCGTTGGGTACGAAAGGTTGCTGCTTCCGGCACGATGTCACTCCCTTGTTCTTTACTTGGCCCATGGGTCGTCCTGCCTGTAGTAGTAGTAGTAGTCGTAGCAGTAGTAGTTTTCCAATCGATGTTAGCTTCCTTCGCATTGCTTTGCTTTCCTAACGGTCCGGTTGTACATTTTTTGAAGGTCAGTAGGGTCCTGTCTGACTCACCTTTAGACTACATTGGACCGTCTTCGTACCTTTGTCTTCCCCTGCACTGCCGTACCTTGCCTCCTTCACCTTTCTAGCCTGCTAGATTACGCGCCATGTGTTTACTAGTTTGGAGGTTGTTGCTTCCCGTGGCATTCTGTGTCTCTTTCCTACCAGCAGGTGTATGCTTATGCTTGGATAGGAGTAGTCGTTGATGCTGTTGCTTCCGGCACGGTTTCCCTCCATTTTTTGTGTGTGCGCCCACGCCAGTTAGTCTGTCTACATTTTTTTGATGCCACACGTTATTCGTTCTTCGTGTGTGTTTCGTTTGGATAGTGGCCGTCGGGTACGAACGATAGCTGTTGCTTCCCGCGTAAATACGCTGCACCTTTCCTTCGAAGCTGAAGAGGTACACGTACGTTTTTCGACTTCGAGGTGAAGCCTGCGCAACAAGTATCCTATTGTTCTGCCGTCGTCCCCGGCGACCTCCTGTGACCTATTTTTCGTGATGTTATTGTCCTGTACTCCAATCTGCAATTCTCCCAACTAACATAAGCCACCTTGGAGGTGTCCTTCATCACTTTTCTTTCTAGACCACCCAGCTGCCACCCATGCTTCGGTATCACCGTCGTTTCTCTCTTAGCTCCCCTCTTCCAATACATCGTAGTACTCTTGCCTCCTTGGCCGTTCCCAGTCAACGCCACAGCACGCGACGCTTTGTTTTCGTTTTTTTCGCCTGCGGAGAGTAGCCGGCGACCGACAGGTCGCCGGCGTTGATCCCCCTTGTACTAGGAAGAATGATGGACTTTTGAATACATTGCCTCTGTTCAATTGAAGCCTTTCACTGCCACTGCGTGCCAATGTTTACCGCGTACCAATTATCATGCCTATCTCGTATCTAACGTACGCGCGGCTTTTGTATCGCCTTCTGTTCTCGAGCCGTTCGTTGCAAGTTGAACCAGCACTACCGACGTCCCGGCTGCTGCTCGGCGGCAACCGCGCACTGCATGGAAACTGGGAAACTCCAGGAGCGCCGGCTCGCTACAATATAATATATTGTTCTGCATCGGTGTCACCTGTGTGGATCACAAGGTCGAAATACATGTTTGTGTACAGTGCAACATTCCCGCGGCCACGTGCTGCGAAAGACAATTATTTGCAGAATACGGATGCGAACTTGGTCCATCAGTAGGTTTAATACGTGCAGAAGCACCACGGGTCACCTCCAAATGTTCTGTGGCCAGGGGACTGCTTCGCAAAGGTTGACCGACTTTCCTGCCTTCATGCTTTTGTACACCCGATACCCACCGTAGTCTAATCAGCTGACAGTCATACATCTGGAGAGTTTTGGCTTTCAAAGATTCCATGGGCAACCAGGTGATGCACTCCGAGGAGTGCCTCCCACGGGATGTGCATGAAAGCAGCAGCAGCAGCACCTTGTCCTAACAGAGAGTAATGGAGCGGTGCCAGAGCCAGCAAATAAGGCGTCTCACCGGCACCTGATCTCACCTGACTGACTGACTGGTCGGGTTGGCTT